ACATTAAATTATGGTTTATTATACAGCTATATTATCTTTACATTGAATTAATTTATTGTGGTGTATAATTGAAATTCTTCTTTTTAGATCAAGTCTTCAAATACTACAACAAATTTTTATTAATAATATATGAAAAATATTTTCACTACATATATATTTATTTTTAAAATTGTTTTATATTTTTTGCACAATTATTCATTATTTTGTTTATTAATTAAACATACAAAACAATGTGAGCCAATAAATGTGGCATTAATGGATCATTACTCATAATCTAAGACCTACAAATTATTATAAGAATAGCATAAGTTGATAAATCATTCAATACATCATCAAATATCATTTTACATTAAATATTTAATAAATAATATAATGTTATGATAATGCATGTTAAATATATTACATAGCAGATAATATTGAGATGTAAATTGTTTACGTAATTAATATATATTTGTATATAGTAAAAAAGATAATATTATTTACTGAAATCTCTCAAAATGCTTAAAATATTTTCTTCAAATAAAATAATTATTACAAAATATATTATTGTAGTGACGCTATAAGAAATAAACACTAATATAATAATGCAATTACCTATAAAAATATATTATATATTAATATCATTAAGAACAATTTGATTGCTTTGAGAATATATTAAAGCCTATTTAAATAAGTAGAATCATATAAAATATAATTTAATAATTATAGTGCTTTATAATAAATGTACATTTAGTTTTATTAAAAGAAATAAATTCATAGTAAATACAGCTTATACGTTATATTAAATTGTACAGAAAATATAAATAGTTTTATGCTACTCTTTTTTATGTAAAATGCTTAATTCTACATTTTATGTTGAGAAAAAGAGATTTCTCATGAATATTATATAAATATAATATAATCACTGTTTATTTAATTATGAAAATAATCCCTTTGTCATTTTTAATTTTCAATCAATTATATATGGAGAGTAAAATTTGATTATACACTTATTTAAACAATGAAAATTCATCTTTTTTTTAAGGTTTGTATTTTTTATATTACATTCTTATAAGAAAAATAAATAGAACAATATAAATGTTCTAATATTGTTAGTTATTTTATCTTCATAAGTTACACTGTAAAATATATATTCCACATAATAATTATACAGTTTTTACTTTTGACAAGTTTTGTATAATTTTCAAATAAAATCGATAAAAAAAAAAAAGAAGCATAGTTAATTATGTTTTAAAGGTTTCTTACACATTACAAATCTTTTTCTTAAGCATAATTTTCAAGTGCATGTTTTCCATACAGAAAATATTATAAGTACAGGAATTTAATGTTGCTTATACAATAAGAAATAGATCAAGATTTATCGTTAACATTGGATATAAGTCTTCCATAAGAAGAATATCAATGCAACGATAATATATATTATATATGCTTTTTTCTGAAAAAATTTATTCTTTTAATGTTTTATTATATATCATAAAACCATGGAGCATTAAAAGAATATTCATATGATAAATAAATTTCAAATCTTATATTCATACAATGATACTAAGATATTTGTGTGTATATTTATATAATAAAACATATAAAAAATACATATTTTTTCACATTAAATTATGGTTAAATGAGAAAATGTTAATAAGAAGTATATTTATTTGGAAAATCTCATAAATTATTATAAAAAATGAACAGTTAATATGCATTTTTGACTGCCTAATAACAAGCGTGTAGAAATATGAATGCAATATATAATTAAAAATTTTAGAATACTCATAAGTAAAATATAAAAGGAAATGTTCTTTTAATTAGCATTATTTGTAAAATTAGATAAAAATGTTATTTTTCCTTAAATATCATAATACTGGCAATAATTAAATAAAAAAATATAAAACAGAAATAATGTACAAGAATATTTATACCTAAGAAAATCATTTAGCCTAAAATATAAAACTATAATTTAATGAAAATCATATTATTAATATAAACATGATAAGTCCTATTGCTCTCTAATAAGTCCAATATATAAACTATTAGTAATTGTTCATGTAAGAAAAGTATTCATTTTTATTTTAGTTACTAAATCATAGTAAATGTTTTCATTAGAATTATAGAGCAATTATCATAATTTTTTTCTAAACAACAATACGTAAGTCATTCCTACATTATAAATTAATTTTTGCTACAATATTACGTATTTTTGAATATGATAAATTAAAAAAAGTGCATAAATTAAAATATTTAGTTTCCATTTATATATTTATTTATTTTAATTAATTACGAAATTCCTATAAAATAAACCAAATAAAATAAAAAATTATAAGTTTCTAAATAATACTATGAATTATTCATTAATCTAATATATATATTTCTTAAGTTTCATTAGAAAAAAGAAATGCATTAATGTTATATGTCAACTTATAAGTACTTTTAATAATATAGTAGTTAATTTTAATGCAGTTATAACTGAAATATTTATAAATGTACATATGAAGCATAAAAAAATACGTTAACTTTAAAAAACAACAAAAAAAGTTTTATTACATTTATGGTCAAATATATGGTGCTCTCCAAGATATATGTATCATTTGGTCTAGGTTAATATGATTATGTATATATATATTTTCTTTAGCATATTCAGCGCAGTTTTTTTGAGGGAAAAATATGAAAATTGTAAAAATCATACTACTTAAATTTTTCTATGTGTTTTAATTATATTTTTAATTAT